ATAGGTAGCTGCTGAGCCGTCTCACACAATCCTATTTTTCTATCCTCAGAAACATAACCATTTAAAGCCTGACATAAAAAAATAGTCTAATTTTTTTTTTCTATGCTACCATTTATTGAACCTTTAGACAAAATAAATAAATAAATTGTAAATAGACTTTTATGGCTCACATAGTATATAAAGGTGAATATAAGCTCATCTTCATGGAGAAATCCTCATTTTTAAAGTTTTATTCAGAGGCACAAATGCAATTTGTTGGAGTTGCTAAAATTTATATGGCCAACAAGAAAGATCTGATATTTGTAATGATGTAAATTGCAAATAAAAACAATTTGTCCATCTTTATCTCCCAATAATAGACAGTAATAATAATAGTAAGTTGATATTTAAATGCTTATGATCAAAGATTTTTAGTTTTTATTATGGGGGGCAAAACATATAATACAATGACGATTGAGAAATGCCTGGTTTTAATTTTTTTTTTTTTTTCATTTTAACATGATTTTTCTAAGAAATTATGTATGGATAATCAAGTAAAACCAAGTTTCTTCAGTCTAGTAAGTATTCATCATGAAATTTTACCAACATTACCAGCAATTCTCATGTTTACTTTGTAAAAAATCACAGCAAAAAGGCAGGTGTGCCAAGATCTGAAGGGGGACATTTTTAGAATTATACTAAAAGGCTTTTTACTTGCTAAAAAAATATATATACTATCAATCAGTCGACGGAAGGAATGTAATAGATTGTGTACAACATATTTTTTCAGAGCAGTTTCGATCATGTTTTTTTCAGAAACATTTATTTACGCCAGTACTTGTTATATATCAGAATGTGCGAAACACGAGCTTGAAGAGTGACGTTGATTTTATCTTTGTGTAGATTGTAAAGAAGGTCAATCTCTTCTGCCTGAGCACATATATCCAGGCGGACGCCATGAAGGTGGAGTTTCCGGAGATGATGTCAGAGGTCATTGCGTCACAGCTGCCGAAAGTGCTTGCGGGGATGGTCAGACCCCTCCTGTTTCACAGCAAATGAAGCCATGTGATCCAGACAGTGTGCTTGGGTCTGGGACTCATCGTGTCTCTGGTGTACGTGCGCCACATCTAGTTAATGTAGACACACATCTTTCCATACACAACTCCTCCCCTTTTAATAGTCACAAGTTCTGACCTGACGTGTTAGTTGAATATACACAATTTGTGAAAAGGAGTAAAAAAATAATAATAATTCACAGTCCAATGATAAAGAGATAATATAATCTGCTTTATCATTAAACCCTGCTATTGAATTCTACAAAAAATGACAGTCTTTGAGCATTTTTGTGATAACTTAAGACAGACTGTGTTCATATTTGGCAGGTTTGGTTTGATTAAAATGAACTCTGGTGCGATTGCTCTGTTAGTAGTTCATTTGAATAAGCGCGAACGCTGCCATCCGAACCCTGGCGCACAACAAACAAGCAGGCCGTCTTTTCAGAGCCACTTCCAAACAAACTCCACGGACCAAAGACATCTAAACGAAGCAAAAAACGGTTGTGACGTCACAAGAAATGAGCCTAAAAAGGACAGAATGCTCAGATGTCGCCCATTACAGTCCAGTCTTTTTGCAGCAGATCTTAGTTTGCATGCAACAAAGGAATTCCCTGTGCTGGTTTGACTCCTTTACTAACACAGTCTCACCCCAAGAAGTCATATATCTGACGCCTTGGGATGTCTTTTGACCATACGTCAACATCCGCCTTTTTAGGGTACCCTTAAACGTCGGTTACATGACTATAGGGCCGTCATACAACTGACGCTTTACCTTTAACGTCGGTTAGGTGACGGGGTAGGTTTAGGGTTAGGTTTAGGTTTGGGGTTAGGATCCGATAACGTCATCTAACCGACGTTTAAGGGTACCCTAAAAAGGCGGATGTTGACGTATGGTCAAAAGACGTCCCAAGACGTCAGTTATATGACGTCTTGGGATGAGACTGCGCTGCCTTTACACATTTTTAAAACTGAGTTTTCAGCTGGTGCCATCATACAGCACATTTAGCCCAGAATACAGCATTGTTTTCATTGTTCAGTAAGTTTCATCGCAAAATATACGTCATGAAAGCTGTGCTTTTTGTATCTTTAGGTTCTGTGTTAAAAATGACAGTGTGAATGCTAAGTGAAACAAGACTAAATGTATAATTTTCATTTTTGGTCTGGACCAAATGAACCAAGTGAAGTAAACGACAAGTGTGAGCACATAACTGTGCAAAAATATTATGTATTAAGTATTTTTTTTCCATGTTCCATGTAATTCTTGTTACTGAAATTTCCAAACATTTTTTAAACCAATTAGACTGTAATTTACCGTAAAATTATACTTTTCCTGCCAGTTTTATTTTATTTTTAAATCCTAAACATGTGATGAAAAGAAAACACTTGATAAGCTGATAAGTGTCGAAAAGAAATTTTTTTTAATGGTCAGATCTTCAGAACTCCCAATGCCAGCCACCATAGATTGTATTCGCATTTACGTAGTAACCGCTCACTTCACGGCAAATGAAAAGTACATGTGAAGTATATAATAAAAAAATAAACATTGATTACATATAATAACAATGCTTGAAAGACAAAGAGCTAAATTGTACATTGGCTGAGGGATCACAGAGTATATTTAAAGGAACACTCAACAATTTGATCCAGCCTGTTTAAAAACGTTTTTTTTTTTTTTTAAAGTACAATATTAAAGGCTCATTGCGTAAGTCTCTGAGTTTTTGCAGAACTATACCCCCTCTGGCGTCAAGCGAAACTGCAACCAGATGTGTGCACGCTCATGGACCACACACACACTTGCACGAGCTGTTCATAACCAAAGGAGGATCAGCGGCACAAATCTTTTGTTAGTCATAATGTCTTCAGAGGTAATAAAGTTATACATCTGCCATTTAGTCATACATAAGTCATTTTAACTATATGAAAGGAAAGGCATTTGAGTAAATTACACACTTATGTGTCAGGGGAAAACGGGGGTAGTAGAAAACTTCGGTTTTGTTTCCATCTATCTCCATGTTGAACTGTTTTATGTGTTTACTGTATCCACATATGATTGTATTATTATGGAAACACATTCATGAACAATATATGTTATTTCTTTGTATAGGATCCCGTTTGAGCCCTAGAGCAGACCGGAGATCTCTCCATTTATTGAAAGCTTCCCGATGTTGACTCTCGTCTTATTCCGACGCCTGGCACTAGACAAAAGTTTTATTTTCTTTGTCTTGCGTGAGTTTGCGTTGGGGTTTGGAATGAATTACAAGCCGCTCTCTTTGAATCCATCTTCTACTTTTGTCGAAAGTTGTCTTAAGTTTTGTTGCTTGAGTTGTCTTTGCTGATACGGAGAATGGCGACGAATAGATAAACCTGCCAGACATATGGTACGTTCACACCGGACGTGAATAGCGCGTCAGGCGCGAATGATTTCAATGTTAAGTCAATGCAAAGACGCGTTACGCGCATGAAAAATTCCTGCGACGCGGAAGATGCGAATACACCTCATTCGCGCGTCAAGTTCGCGCAAATTGAGCGTCTGGCGCGTTAAGCACGAATGATTTAGTTAGTGCCATTTGTGCATTCACGCGTTTGACGTGAATTCGCGTCTGCCGCCCGAGTTGAAAAATCTGAACTTCTGAACTTTAACCAATCAGGAGCCTAGCTGCTTGCTCACGTGGTGAAGTGTCTGGATGCTTTAATAAATTATTTTGTATATGACTAAATGCATGGTGGGATTATGCACAACAAAGCAAATATTTTATCACTTAAAACATTATTTCTATATACGAGACATGTTCATTTTGTATTGAATGTTATTCATTCCATATCTAGATTATATGAAATAGTATTATGATGTAAAGACAAACGTGAAGCTAGCCAAACGGTTCGCCTCCGAAGGGTCCGGTGGACACAAATACGGCGACGATGATTGCCGCTGTTCTAGCCCTCCAGAGAAAATACAGTGCGGTGAATCTTTCGATGAATGCTCGATCAACATAAACAAAGATGGCCGTCAACGGGTTTCGGTTTTGACGCGCGTAAATTTCGCTTCAAACTTTTTATTTTACCCGCGTCAGTTTCGCTCTTGATGCGTGAATTAACAAAGTGGTCAAGCGTCAAACTAGACGCGGTAGACGCGCTATTCGCGTCCGGTGTGAACGTAACAATTGCCAGGTGAGCGTGAACGCGCATGACGTCATGCCCAGTCTCAAACGTCCCGAATCCCTCTTATTTAATTTACTGTACATGATTATAGAGACAATCGCAGTGATGTTTAAGCATGTATGGGTTAGAAAAACGAGTACTTTTAACATGAAATATTGCGCAATGCACCTTTATGGGCCAGATTTACAAACAGCTTACTCGAGCGCAAACTCTCTTTTGGTGTTAAACTACTGTCAGGATTTACCAAAGACACGCAGTGAAAAATAAGTGCTGAAAAAGCACAGACACGGTTATTTTAGCGGCTGACCTTATTGTATATGCATTTGTAGTTGTTTCCTTTTCAGAAGCAAAATTTATGGGGAGGAGGGTATTTAAATGAATCATACAACGTGACTAAGGTTTGCACTAGTCAATTTACTGGTGTTTATGCCATTATTTACCACCCCTAAAAAAGTATGTCTTAAACCAGAAGCTAATGTGTCATTATGGAAAAATCCGGCTGCGTCTGTGTTCTCGTCAGTAGAGTTTATCGGAAGGCAAGAGCATAAATTTGAAAAACATTTCTTGTTGCTCCTATAATTTCCTCCCTCTGACCTTGATGGCCTATCTGAAGGGAGTATCGGTCCAGCATCAGCAGTCAAGGCCACAGCATTCTCATGTATTTAATTGGGAAAGAACACTGGGATCTTGGCAATCGTCCGCTTTCCAAAGACTTCCGACGTCGTTTCTCTTCAGGAAAGTCATTGATGTCTGGTCTTTACGTCTGATGATTTCGCTTAAGCTAAAAATCTTTAGACAAGAAGTGGGTCTCATTTTGTAAACAAATTTAATGATGAACCAAAATGAATTAAGCAAAACAAAACAAATCATTCATACAGTATATACATTTCTATCATTTAGTTTTTTTTTTCAATCAGTAATCATAACACAATTTTCAACAAAATGGCTGGAATGTATCATGTTGGTGTTGTTGACACTGACAGTGGGTGTCATTTGAAACTTCTGGTACAATGAAGTTATTACAGTTGGACTTGTTTCATTGGTATTTGTAAAGACCTGGATGCCAAACTGAGGCATCATCCACTGCTATCCCAAGCCAGTGGTTTCCAAACATTTCAGGAATAGGAATCATTTTGTGTGTATTAGAAAATGTGATACATTTCAATTATAAATAACTAGAACACTTAGTTCCATTGCTCTAATGCGATAACATAAGCAGTGATCCAAGGATGCTGATAATTCAGCACAGAATTGGAACATTTTACTTTTCTGAAATTTTACATAAAATATTTTGTGTCTGATTTCAGTTCTGCATGTAAAATTCCACAATGGGGTCCAAAAGTCTGAGACCACTAGTAAAAATATTTAGCTTTTTTTTCCTTTTTATTTAAAAAAAATATATGAACAGCATAATGTGATAAATGAATATATTTATATTTATATAAATATAAATATATTTATATTTTTATATGAATATATTTATTCATATATTTATAGTTATTCAAGCAACATAAACAAAACCCGATCACATTCTCCGGCATGATTTGAAATGTTCAAAATGCTTCATTGTTAAGCTGAAAATTTGACCACATTTACTCAATTGATTAGTCAGCAAGAAATAAAACAGAATCTGAGATATTTTGTAGTAATTTTGTTCTAGTTTCTCTGTTAAAAATGCTCAAAATCCTTAAAGTGTGGTCTCAGACTTCTGAACATTTATGACAACAGTAAGTCATTTTAGAATGAGAAACCACACACACAAACGTATACACGTTTAACCTTCTTTCCCTTCATTTCAAAATTATAAGAATTGAGCTAAAATAAAAGAAAGTCTGTCTCTTAGGCTACGTTCACACTGCAGACTGAAACGACCCAATTCCGATTTTTTTGTCCCTATACGACCTGTATCTGATCTTTTTATGACAGTCTCAACGACACAGATCCGATCTTTTCAAATGCGACCCAGGCCACTTGGGTATATGGTCCAAATCCGATATGTATCCAATCTTTTGAAATGCGACTTCAATCTGATCGGCCAGGTCACATGTATCCGACCCGCTCGTCATTGATATGCGTTCACGTTCACACAAACGGCCTTGCAAAAAAAACGATTTTTATCAAAAAATCGGAATTGAGCATTAAGCCCCTGCAGTGTGAACGCAGCCTTAGACCAATAAGCTGGTCTTTCATGACAGAATTGCAGTATTTCCACCGCACAGTAGACCTAAAATGATCATTTAGTGCGGTACATTGCACCTCCTGACCTCAGTGTATCTAAATTTGTGCATCTACACTCAATGATTTCAGTCCGGCTTCCAGAATTCAAGAATTACAGCTGCGATTGAGGCCTTGTACTGTATCATTGAGGTTTGTGTACCATACATGATCTCTTACTATTCAGTGTCATATAATGTCATATCCTTACAGTTCACTTACAAATCATTTAATGCTTTATATATACTTTAAGCTCTTGGTCTAAAATTCATGTTACCATGGATACCATGAAAAGCTTGGCCTCTCCTGGTTGGATGCTGTCAGAGGAACACCACGTAGTTTTCAGGAATGAGTCCTGTTTTGCCCTCAAACGTTGCCTGAAGCCAGCCTGGTTCCACTGAGGAATACACTGCAAAAAAGAAACGGAGAAGGTTTAAGCTGTGGAGAAGTTTTCTATAATATGAAAAAAGGTCTATAGTATTATTGCTCATACTTGGGGGGTGGAATATACTGGTGCGCAACAACAGATACGAGACCCGAAACCAGTGAGTTTTTGGGACAAATGACAAAACCATCATTGGGTCAATCTTGTATTATGCCTTGTATGTTTAGCAAATTTAGATTAATTATTCTATATTACATTGTATGTTCTTTGCTGATTTTTTTATGTTACCAATATAACATCAACAAAATAAACACTTAGTAGTCAAATAGGCGTCAATAAGACCATTTTTAGAAAAAAAAAAGAAAAAAAAAGTTCTATGGCGTTTTTGACCAAGTTTTAAAAAAACGCTTGATGCCCAAAAATCTCTATATAAAGATACATGTCTTAAATGATTGCATGATACTTTCATGCTTAAGAGGTTATTTAATTTTTTTCTAGTGATAAATAATGTTTATTAGCGGTTGAAGTCATAAAACCGAACAATACACAATTTATTAAAATAAATGACATAACAGAATTTTTTCTTCTAATAATGTGGGTTAAAAAAATATAAATCAAACAGTAATATAGTCGCAAATAACAGTAAAATATTGTCTGTAAAAAAAAATTACAACTATTAATAAAAAGTTTTCTTTGTATGACAGCCTGGCCAAAAATTATGTCCACTCATTTGTTATCACAAATAAAACAACTTTTCACTTTTTGACCAATAAACAGTTTTGACCACTACGGTGTGTGTATGTATGTATATAAGGAAACAAAATTTTATGAAAATGTAGAACTTATATGCAATTTAAAAGTAAGATTTTTGACATCTTTTGTGGTGGGGTCAGTGAAATTGTTGCCAAGGCAAACCAATATCTGAACTATCCTTATTGTTGAGTCTTGCAAACCTTCCAACCCTAAACATCAAATTTGGCATGAAAGCCATCCTGCATTTTTGAGACAGACTTGAATGTTACCTCAAATCATGTGATTTACTGAGGTGTGTTATTATTTTTAGATTTTTAAGTTATCAATATCAGCTGTACATTTTTTTTTACTTGGTGGGTAAAATGACTAAAGATCAAAATAAGCAACTCTTCTAAAGTCTCACTTTTATCTAGTTTCGTTTCTTCAGCCTTAAGGCCGTGTGTCCACCAAAGCGTTTTTCCACGCGCCTGGCGTATGTTTTCAATTGTTTTCAATGGGAGCGCCGCATTTTTTTAACGCCGTGAGCGTACCGAGGCGCAGAGCGTTCTTTTTCACGCTGAAGCGCTGAGCGCCCAGCGTTTTTACTGTTCGCTGGGAGTTGAAAAATATTCAACTTTGGATAAAACGCAGCGCTCATCACTGTCACATTTTACCCGGCCGTCCAATCACAGTGGAGGAGGGGCAGGACCAAACCACACCAACCAACTGTCACAACATTCAAACTGCTGCATATATTCCATATCATAGCAACGAAACGTCTCAACAGAAAAAAACGCTGCGCTGCCAAAGCGCTCTCAAGCGTCCAAAGCACGGCGTCTTCAGCAGAGCATCTAGCGTTTTCAGCTGGATAAAAACGCTTTGGTGGACACACGGCCTAAAGGTGCCATATGGGATAATTGAGGTAAAAACATCCAAAAAATGAGCTACACACATCAAAAGAATGAGAAGAAATAAGTGCAATGATGTCATTAAAAAACTGACAAGTTATAGTGCTGCCGAGATATACACCTAAATTAGCATGCTAAATTACTAGCCCCGGCCCGGCAGGTGTCGTAATACCAGTTTCGGCCATGGGAGGCGGTATGCGGGCGGGCAACGTTACCACCAGCCAAACTGCAATAGACGAGTAACTCGCGCGGCTTGTGTGTACTTGAACCTGATGTCAGTCATGTGGAAATACAGCCCACTATAAATTTCAGTTCAGGGATGAGTTAAAAAAAAATGATTGGTCGATATTATGCATGAGGAATACATTTTGGTAAGTTGTAACATATCTTTCAACAGTGTTCTTGTTCTTTTACCATTAGCTAGTAGAGATGATCGGTTCACGTGCGCTGGGGATCTGTCGTCTAACATTTGCAAGCGCCAAAACTGCATTTATTGTTTGAATTGCGTAATAAAATGAACAGAATCTGAGAGCTGAGATTGGTCTCTGTGTCCTTTTCTGGGCATGACAAAATGGATTTGTCATGAGAGTGTGTGAAAAGTTGTGTGTCTCACGGTGAATTTGTGAGAGTTGGCAGCTCTGAAAGACGCTAGCTTGGTCCACATCAGGGAACACTGTTTGTCAAATTAATTCAAACTAATGATAAAAATGTAACATGAACAAAACGAATACCATAAACTAGAAATGCCTGGGCTTTAATTTTCCCATATCGTCGAAATGCACCGGCTTGTCTATGAGATGGCCTTTATAATTTAGTATTGAGATGTTATTCATTTAGTCTCTGAAAATCTCCAAATGATCCATGTGAAACTGCGGTCTTCCAACCTTTTACTATCGTGTCAATTGATTTGATTAATATGCGCGAGACAGAGCAACACAGCGCTCACCCATGTTGTTTGAAGACATGAGTGCGCGCGGCCGCGGAGGTATTTTTCTGGAGGTATACTGCCCCCATTTGGTATGGAATATGGTGTATGATTTGATTTTTTATCCCAGAGGGCACCTTTAAGTTAAGTTGACCGTTCATAAAGTGATTTGTTTGACCATTATGTTCACAAAGCAATAGTCCTCAGAAAAGAAAGGCACATGTGAACCAAATCTGCAAGTAGTTAATCACAAAGTTGGGTCACTTTGCATTGTGAAATTACCCTCATAAAGCTTTCAAAAGGACCTGACAAATGACTTGCCAAGTAATGACTCATATCAATATTCTCTGAACTATCAAATTATCTGTTTACACTAAAGCATAAGGCAGATGGGATTAATTAAGAGTGAAATATATAAGCAGAACTCTCAAATGTCAACAGTGAGAACTCGGGTAGATGGGTAAGAGGAGGTTTATGTTGTGCTAAGTGTTTGCTGAGCTTTAGAGAAAGGAAGACTTGCCTTCACCAGGTTACTGTGACCGGTTTCAAAGCCCTGGTGCCCGGCCAAGTTTGTTCATTGCGGAAAATACATCCAGCAATAAACTTCTATTCCTGACGAGGAATGTACGAGGAACAACAACCGATGGGTGTTCCACAGAACAGCACGTTGTTTTATATCCATATTAATGCCCTGGTATGCAACAAATGTGCATCAGTTCAGTCATAGTTCATTTTTAACATCCACCAAACCACATTGCCAATACACCTCCCAGAGTTGATATGATTCATGGCCAGCATTGCTGCATGTTTCTTGGTGTGTATTGCAGTCACAGTTCATAAAAAGTCACTTAAGAACTGAAGTTCATGTTGAAGTTGAACTGATCACTTGATGAATTGAGACAGCCTGACCACTGACCACCGATTACTAACCATTTATCACACATGGAAATGACAAGCGCTAGCTGAAATCAACAGATAAAACAATGGAATGAGAGAACAATAAAATGATGGAATGAGAGAACAATATAACAATGGAATGAGAACAAAAGAATAAGGTCTATACTGCCCTCTTGTGTCAAATTATATTTCTATATTTATTTTTCCAACAAATAAAACCAAACCTGCAATAAAAACCATCCAATAAACACGTGAAGTCAACAGACTCAGTGGCTCAGTTGATAAAGCGTTGGGCTTTAATCAAGAAGACCCGAGTTCAAATCCCATTCTTGCTTACGTTAAATTGTTGTGATTATATCAAACAAAGTGGCCAAAACAACATTTCTCCAGCCGACAAGACTAATCACGTTGGTCCACTTTGGAAAATGTTTAGATGTCACGGTTTCACCCCCTCAAACGTGAAACTTAAACTTACCATAACCTATTGGTTTTCATTAAACCGAGAAAAATGGGATTTTGTTTTATTGACGATCACTGAGAAATGGTCTATTTTTTAAAATGCAAAAAAACATTTATTATTTTCAAGGTTAAAAGGATTCATTTTCCTTGATCCACGCCGAAGAAAACATCTAAATGTCACGTTTTTAATGAAGCAGCCTAATGAGTATTTTTCCGGGGGTCCCCAGCTCCTCGTTTAAGCAAAAGTTACGCTAAAACAACGTTGACGTTAAGCCGCATTAACCTTGTTAACCATAACCTTTTAAATACTCGACCTAGTTCAGTTGTTTAGCAACGGGACTCCTGTAACTTCAAGTGCCCAACCCGGTATCACGACAAGACGTGAAATAATCACGTTGGTCCACTTTGCAAAACGTGTAGATGTCACGGTTTAACAAAACCATAAATAGGGCTATACCCAGATAGCAAACTGACATTGAATCAACGTGGAAATATGACATCGAAACAACGTTGATCTGACATTGTTTTGCTCATCGAATTAACGTTGAACCAACGTCAGACGCGTCATTCTTTCAAAACTAACGGAAAATCAACTTGAAATCAACGCGTTGTTTCAACGTTATGAAAGCAAACCAATTTTCGATTTTCATTTAGCTTTGAAGAATGCCGCGTCTGACGTTGGTTCAACGTTAATTCGATGAGCAAAATCAACGTTGTTTCAATGTCATGAGAGACGTTGTTTCCACGTTGATTCAATGTCAGTTTGCTATCTGGGTACTGCCCTCTTGTGTCAAAGTATTTAAATTTATTTTTCCAACAAATAAAACCAAACCAAAATAAACACTAGAACTTAACAGACTCAGTGGCTCAGTTGATAAAGCGTTGGGCTTTAATCAAGAAGACCTGAGTTCAAATCCCATTCTTGCTTACTTTATTGTTGTGATTACATCAAACAAAGTGGCCAAAACAACATTTCTCCAACCGACAAGACTAATCACGTTGGTCCACTTTGGAAAATGTTTAGATGTCACCAGTGATGTAGTGCAGGCTATATACTTCCTTTTCAGTCGGCATTGCGTATACCCACTTCTAAACCCCATCTGATGCGCATCATTTAGATGCTAATCCAATTTCGTGAATAAAACAAAAGTTAGGGGATCAACCCAGTTAGGGTCGATCGTACCCGTAATATTAACTCTAATTTGTTGCTGCAATGATTCTCCCAACGCGACGATAACTGATCTTCTCAGCTGATCTGCTTTAGCACTCAAACACCTGCTCGTCAATGTCAAAATGTTCGTGAGACCAATCAAAGAATGCAGTATTTTTGTTCATAGAAGCGCGAGCCGAGCGCGAATCCCAACGCGACGCTTCACTTCAGTTAACAATCAGTGTAAGATACCATCAAAGTAGGCTATGGCTTGTTCACCTTGCTTTGTTTCTGATTGCATACTTATCAGTTTGTCTGGTTAGCAAAGTTGGTGGTAGCATACATGTTGTTCTCGCAAACTAGCTGAATTAAGCAGAATGCGATCGAAAATGTATCATGTTTATAATAAAATTTTGTGGTATGTTCTTACCAAAGATGTATCGTGTGTATGTTACGTGGATGGTGGCAGTTAAACAGCGGAACAATTTGACAGTATGACAAAGCCAGAGTACAGTAACATCTCTCTTGATGCCAGGGAAAACAAAACCAGAACACCTTAACTCAGCGATCAGCGTGCTGGAACAAAGGCAAAGAGCCGTAACAGCTGATACGGCGTTCTGCCTTGGTTTCTCATATGGTTTTGGATGTTACGGTTGTGATAGCCCTTTATTTTCTCGTTAAAACAATCAAATTGAATCACGATATTTATACTAGGTCTGGGTATTGAGAAATTTCACAATTCGATTCGATTTCGATTCACAAGCTTGCAATTCGATTCGATTTCGATTACGATTCGATTCAATATCGATTATTTTGGATATCAGTTACAATAAATGGCATTTTTTCTCAAGGGAATCAAATCTCTTAACTAATGCTGTAAACTATGGGAGTCTAGTTGTAGCCTACTAGGCTTCATTAGCCTAATATGAAGGTAATAATGAATGAATCACTTAAATTACACTTTTATTTATTTTAAATAATAAGAAGATTATATGAAATATAAACATTTAAATGGTGGCTGTCATAAAAAAAACTTGCCAGATTTATTCAAATATGAAGGTAATAATGAATGAATCACTTAAATTACACTTTTATTTATTTTTATAATAAGAACCCAGATAGCAAACTGACATTGAATCAACGTGGAAATATGACATCGAAACAACGTTGATCTGACATTGTTTTGCTCATCGAATTAACGTTGAACCAACGTCAGATGCGTCATTCTTTCAAAACTAACGGAAAATCAACTTGAAATCAACGTGTTGTTTCAACGTTATGAAAGCAAACCAATTTTCGATTTTATTTAGCTTTGAAGAATGCCGCGTCTGACGTTGGTTCAACGTTAATTCGATGAGCAAATCAACGTTGTTTCAATGAGAGACGTCGTTTCCACGTTGATTCAATGTCAGTTTGCTGTCTGGGAAGATTATATGAAATATAAACATTTAAATGGTGGCTATATATTTAGCAAAATGCTCCTCTCTGTAGTTATTTTTTCCTAGCTGACTAATGAGTTGATGTGGGTTTTCTGAGGTAAATATGACGATACATTGATTACAAGCTGTTTAACTGACGTCTTTCCACGGTTAAAACGCTGATTGAGCGAATCAATGTGACATGATATGAATTTCGATAAGTTGTACTCTATCTTTTAACACACTTTCAGGCGCTCATTCATGTTTATTTCGCGCTGTGACTGGTATTATTAAGCCGGAAGAGAGATCAGCGCTGTTGCTTCTCATCAGCTGCGCCAGAGCGATACTATTTATGTTTTTGAATTTCTAAAGAAAATGGACGTCATTTGAAAATTGAGACTTTGCTTCATATCAATAGTAACAAAGGACAAAGATTATTGCGATTTTTTTTTGATGCGCGCAGCCGCGATACAATCCCATTCATTCAAATGAAACAGGATGAATAACCGATTCTTGAGACTTAAGAATCGATATCGGTTCGTAAAAATGAGAATCGATTAATATCGAGAAATCGATATTTATTACCCAGCCCTAATTTATACACATGATAAAGGAGGTCTCAAATACCACAAAAATGACACTAACTCATTTTTGACCAAACATGATGTTACGGCGTTTTGCCTTTGTATGGCAGAATAGATTGATGGAATGAGATAAAGATAGAACAATGGAATGAGAGAACGGAAGGATGATATAACCTTGCTATAATATATATATATATATACATATACATAGTATATACATAGTATATAAATAAATATATATATATATATATATATATATATATATATAACATACTTAGCAAGGTTATATATTTCAGCAGGGAGATTTTATATGACACTTCATAAGGTGCTCCTTCAGACGTGAAGGTTTTATGGCTTTATTTGGAAAAAAAAAAACTTTTTTCACATAGTAAACAAATTGGAAACTGTGCATTGGTGGGAGAAGGTATGAAACCATAATTAAGGTATTCAATGGAATACTGTCTGCAGGTTTTCTTGTTCGGTGGCGCCAATTGTTTTTATGATAGTGTATTTTCCCGTGCAAAAGTGGACAAAACTTTTTTTTTACATGCACTGTTTGTGGACTGTAATTTGATCTGATAAGTGACAATGTCAGAGGCTATTATGTATGGAAGACTAGGAATGCACTTCCGTGTGCTCTTAAATGCTCCCGAGTGTTGATCATTGTAGCCAATCACAGACATATCCAATAAGTGCGTGAACACAATGGCCAATCAGAGGTGTTTACGATTCAGCTCAACAGCGCTCAAAGCATCACTATTTTTCAATTTCAATTTTGACAACAACACTAAAATGATCGAATGATAGAATGATCGATAGATAGAACAATAGAACAATCGATAGATAGATAGATAGATAGATAGATAGATAGATAGATAGATAGATAGATAGATAGATAGATAGATAGATAGACAGACAGACAGACTCACCGTTGGAGAAGTGAGCCCCTTGTGGGAAACTCAGCTCATTGCTGTGTTCGGCTTTACAGGAATATATGGCTTTGGCATCTCTATGGATTCAGATCATGAAATTATACAATTCAAGGATGTTTTAAAAGACCGTTTGTTGGTTTTATAAAAATGTTTGCCATATATTAAACAGTTGTTTTTATGTAGTGTGCCAATTTTTACCTTCCCAAGGGAGGAGGTTTTCCAGCTGATGGGTTCTCAAAAAGCAGTGCTCTAGCAGCCACCCTGAAACATACAACCATGCAAATATGTCAGGAAGGATGATAATTGATGTCATCATTTCACCGCACAAGAATTAGACTGGATGAACAAACCATTTTAACTAAGCAGTTGGCAACAGTTTGAATTACATAAAAAATGTTGGTGAGAGCCAACATTCAGTACTGAAAGATTCAGTGAATTCAGAGAAATCTCAGTCTGTGTTAGGGCAAAGCAGAAGACCTCTGTTGAATGTACGTGACCTTTGAGCCCAAGAGTACTTTAGAAAACCATTTTCATTGAACACAGTATGACGCTGCATCATGCAAGACATGCAACAGGAATCTCTGTTATGCAAGGAGAAAGCCATCTCTCTCCAAAAAGCCAGATCTCTCTTATTGAAATGTATGACCCATCACGAAAAGGAGAATAAGACAACAATGTCCTCAGACGGTTGAGTAGCTGTCTTTTATCAGGCGAGATTCCATTTGCGGACACTAACTAAAAGTGTCCGCAAATTCCCAAATGAAAATTAGTCCCTCCAGAAAAATTTGTCCAAATTAGGGCTGTCAGTTTAACGCGTTATTAACGGCGTTAACGCAAACCCATTTTAACGGCGTTAATTTTTTTTATCGCGCGATTAACGGTCTTTTTGTCCTAGCAAACTTTGTAGTTTTTTCACATGCTTTTGCAACAGGACGCAGCATGCGTCCTGATCCATTTCAGAGTCTCGCGCTCGTCATCCACTCAAGGCCGGCTCGCAAGCCCAAGCATGTGTTTGCGGCGTGCCTGTTGTTTTGTTTATGGTCTTGATCCGCTTGCATTTTGGTCAAAGAAGCAACAAAACGTCCTCGCGTGGCGCAAGCCATTGAAATGAAAGGGTTTCAGAGCGCAGTGCGAAGACGTTTTGTGCCGCACACATTCGTTTCGGCTTGCGAGCTGGCCAAATAGTAACGTTAATTTTGAGTGGATGACCAACACAGTCTCATGAAGATGCGTATCTATACCACGAATGTCATTTCTCGTGGCATTTATACGCCAAAAACGTTTTTTTGCGTCTATACGGTACGCACTAAAAAAACCCTGGGTTAGGTTTAGGGGGGAGGGGGGTGGGGAGTTCGTGCGTACTGTACGGCAAAAAATGTGAAAAACACGTGCCATATACACGCAAAAACGTGTATAAATTTTTTGGCGTATAAATGACACGAGAAATGACATTCGTGCTATCGATACGAACTTTCATGAGATCGGGCTGCCATTGACAAGACCAAGTGATCTGTTTTTTGTCGTTGTGAACTCAGCGATCATCATCGCAGCACGTCCAGTCAGAAACACCACTTGATGATGGCCAAGCAAACACACACACACACACACACACACACACACACAGAGATGATGCGAATTCTCCGATCCCTCGCCATTAGGGCCTCGTTAGTATTTCTTTCACCCTTTTATTGATAGACAGTGTTACATTGTGTGAGAGATTATTTTTTTTTTTTATTAAACCTTTATTTAACCAGGGATATAGTCACATTGAGATAAGTATCTCATTTACAAGTGAGCCCTGGCCAAAATAGCAGCACACGATATACATAAATACATAAAACATAATACACAGCACGAACATGTACAAAAAATAATACAAAATTAAATGTTAAGAACAAGTGCAGACAGATTTGAATGATTTGTTTAAGTGTAGCTTGAACTCACTTATCGAAATAAGTTCTTCTAGTTTCAGTGAACTTTGGATCTCATTCCAAACAGTTGATGCGCTATAAGTAAAAGCAGTTTTTCCAAATTCTGTCTTTATAGGCTATATGTTAGTGTGAAATTGAACACTATTCCAATGTTATTTTCAATAATAATTTTCCACTTTTCCACATTGATAAGAGCATTAAAATGAGAAAAAAATGTAACAAAAAGAAATCAAGAGACATTTAGAATAGATAAAAATGTGCGATTAATCGCGAGTTAACTATGACATTAATGCGATTAATCGCGATTAAACATTTTAATCGTTTGACAGCACTAGTCCAAATTAGTCCCTCCAGAAAAACACGATTATGCGATCGCTGAATTCATTGCATAATCAGCCAAAGTTCGTATATTTATGCGGGGTCGCATTTTTTTCAAATACTCCGCAATTTCGCCTCATAAATAGCTGATTTCCGCGCAAAATATGCAGGGCTTGCATGATTTCATAATCCCGCATTTTCGTCACAAAAAAATTACATATATCTTGACAGAAAGTTGGAAAATGTTGAGTTTACTTCTCACAAGAGCAGCCACCCCCCTGTTGCCATGGGAATGTTAAGAAGTGATGTAATTACGTGATGTGAACACCATCGAAAAGCTGTAAAACAGCTTAAATTTAAAGCAGCTTAAAGAAGCACACTTACATTTTTTATATTTCATTTTTACAGAAGTTGTAGCATATTTCTTTTGTAAAGCTACAGAACTTGTTTGACAAGTTTGATGTGTTTACTAAAGGGTTAGTTCACCCAAAAATGATAATTCTGTCTATATTTACTCACCCTCATGTTGTTTCAAACCTCTATCTGTTTATTTCTTCTGCTGACAAAGGAAGATATTTGGAAGAATGTTTTAATCAAACAGATCTCATTGACTACCATAGTATGTATTTTTTCCTACTATGGTTAGTCAATGAGGAATGAGATCTGTTTGATTAAAACATTCTTCCAAATAGCTTTCTTTGTGTTCAGCCAACCCGGTCTCACCCCAAGACGTCATATAACTGACGTTTTGGGACGTCTTTTGACCATACGTCAATATTCGGCTTTTTAGGGCCCCCTTAAACGTCGGTAGATGAGGTTATGGGATCCTAACTCTACCCCAGACCTAAACCTAACCCTAAACCTAACCCGTCACCTAACTGACGTTAAAGGTAAAGCGTCAGTTGTATGACGGCCCGGGATCGCCATCTACCGACGTTTAAGGGGGCCCTAAAAAGGCTGATATTGACGTATGGTCAAAATACGTCCCAAAACGTCAGTTATATGACTTTTTGGGATGAGACTGTGTTAGTTCAGCAGAACAAATAAACACATAGAGGTTTGGAACAACATGAGGGTGAGTAAATACTGACAGAATTTTCATTTTTGGGTGAACTAACCCTTTAAGGTCTTGTAACACGTTTTGTCTGGAAGAAAAATAGATGATAGCTCCCAGCTGAAGTTATTGCAGAGGCCAGATCGACTCACGGAGGCGACTGGCATCTCACAACTCGCACTTTATTCCCAAATCGAACTCACATCGTTACTTAATAAAGAAAATAAGACAAAAGTATCAGCATCAAACAGAAATGACACGCACACATGGGGTGTTTGAGGCGCATGCCACATACAATATAACACTGCAGACAGTTCAACAGGGAGCACGCAGCTCAGGCTCCACACCGTATTTCCACTCGTTACAGTCTGAAATAAAACAAGATGTGAAATTAAATATTCCAGCACTTTCTGTGATCTATATGCTTGCTTATCATAAAAATGACTAGCATGAATTTACAATGAATTTACATTAAGGTAGTAAAAATAAATGAATTTACATTAAGGTAGTAGCCTAGTGAGAACAGGGTGTTGGGGAAACTTTTTCGAAAAACGCAAAAGTTCCCGCAGTTTTTGCAAGTTCCAGCAATTTCATTGCATAAATCGCATTTCCATCGCATTTTTAAAGCTACACTGTGTAACTATTTTAGTTTATTCTTAGCTAAGAACACTTAGTTCCTTAAAAAAATATATGTGCTCATTAATGTCTATTTACTACGTTCAAGTAATAAAGCATTCTCGCGAGTGTATAATATGCCATAGAAAATACATACGGGTAAGGGGTTCTAACGTCAGTCGGCATGTTGCCCCTCCATCTTGAAAGTACATTAGCCAAAGAGGGACATACCCGTTAATTCAAGCTTCGCCTTTCGTGTTTACGTTTGAGTTAACACCCATGGACGAGGTTGAACTGGAAGCCATGTTAATCTTGAACTAGTTAAAACGAAATCGGAATTGAGAGGAACAGAAACTAATATTCAATAGGATGGTCATATACCTTTTCGCTTGATGGGGGTAAAAATCACAAAGTGTAGCTTTAAAGAAAATGGGCCGCATAATCAAAGACTTTTGCCCGCAACAATCACAAAAAATTTCGTGTATTTTCTGGAAGGACTGAAATGATTACAAACTGTATTTAAAAAGAAAAATGATAGTGTGACAGTGGTGAACATGCCTGTCTCAACTTTTTTGGAGTGTGTTGCAGGCATCAAAAAAAAAAAAAAAAAATTCACAAAATACAATTAACTTTGTCAGTGAAAACATTGCAAAATATATTCGTTGTACTTTGTCTGTTAAATAAAGGTTAACGAGAATTAACCATATCACCAACCTGATCTTACGGCAATTCGTACGAATTTTACGAGGAGGCTAATTCGTAACAATTCGCACAACCTCACTCGTACGAATTAGTACGATTTTGCTAAATCGTACATATTTTACGAGTTTCCCAATTCGTATGAATTCATATGACATACCCCTGACCTCGCCCCTAAACCTACCCATCACGTGGGTTTAGACAAATCGTACAAATTCGTACGAATGAGGTCGTACGAATTAGCCACCTTTTAATCACTCGTACAAATTCATACGAATTGGTCGTGAGATAGCATTGAAATCACAGATTCTTGATTTTATTGCATTTGGGAATATTTCTATATGCACATAATGCATTGTATGCAGATGTGAGAATCACCACTATAGCAGTGATTCATGTACAATTTATATAACTGTTAAAGTAACTTACACAGTCTCAGGGCAAACATTTTCAAATCAACATGTTGCTTACACTTAAAGATGAACAAATTGAGTCCACGTGATGTTAAGTGACGTGATGTTTCTGTTCTTCCTGTGAATAACTCAAACAAAATTATACATCCTTCCATCCAGAGAAGATTTAAAAACCAGTGCAGGGTCACATCAACCCTTTCAGCAGTGTAATTTAAACTGGTGCCAACAGAAAACTACTGCAATCAATCTCCATTCAGCCACTTCCATCACTGCCAGCAACATAATACTGCACAAACTTTCCTCACGAATTTCAATAAATGTATTATATTTCTCATGACGTCGTGTTTTTCTAAAACCTGACAGAAGCATACACAAGTTGTCAGTGAAGTAATGGAAGAGATTTTCACACTAAAATGAAAATTCTGTCATTATTTACTCATCGTCATGTAGTTTTTAACATGTATGTCTTTCTTTCATCTGTGAAACATGATTTTTTTTCTCCATGTCTTGGTCACCAACATTTCTCAAATATCTACTTCTGCTATGTTCACAGAAAGTCATTCAGATTTGGAACCACATGAGGGTGAGTAAATTATATCTTTTTTTTTCAGGTGAACCATCCCTTTAATGTGATCCGTATATTTTTTTTAAGTGATAAACAGATATGTTATTTTGGTTTAAATTTTTACCTTACATTTTTACTTTATTTTTTTTACATTTGCATGCCAAATCAATTTCTGAATGATGTAACCAACATTCAGAAAGGCATTTTGGGTCACACTTTACAACAAGGTTACATTTGTTACCATTAGAAACATTTTTATCTGCTAATATTTCTAACATTTGTATATTAGCAAATGCACATAAATATAAATAAATACTGTAAAAAAATACTGATCATTGTTAATTTTTGTTAATACATTAACTAATGGGACATTATTGTTGTTTGTTACCTAAAGTGTTACCTAAAAAGAAAATAAATAATAATAATAATATTTTATATATATATATATATATATATATATATATATATACATCTTTAAGATTGAAAGATATGGATGAGTATGAGGACACTCACTCACTCATTCAAAAGAAAAAAAAAATTGAGTTTTTTTTTTCCATCATCTTTATCCTCAAATGTTGCCTGAGATCTATCATCGTTTGATTCGCTCACAGGGTGAGGTTTAGCATCAGTGGGTTAGTTACTGGTAAAGACTTCAACTTACACTGATCCTGGTCTCTGATAGCCGTTCGTAGAGCCGCTGTTGTCCAGCTTTCGTCGTAGGATTGTTTTAGGAGGCAGATCGAGGTATGTGGAAGATCTGGCCCCGTCTTTATGATCCATACACACTAGACTCTGTACAGACCCCACACAGCTCTTAGGACCTCCAGAGAGCCCAAAACAAAAAAGTACAAAATTACTAAATGTTTTTTTTTTTTTTTTTTTTTTTTTTTGGCTATATCAGAGGGTTACAAACTTTATACAGTATATATATACAAAAATTTGTAAAGAAAAAATGGAAAATAGGACAAACACTATCGGTGTGGACTACAGTTTGGAATAATTCAGATTTTCTAATGTTTTCAAGTCTATTTATGCTCATCAATGCTGCATTATTTGATCCAAAATACAGTATAACAACTATTATTGTCAAACTTTACTAAAGACCTGTTTTCTATTTGAATACATTTTAAAATGTAATTTATTCCTGTGATGGCAAAGCTGAATTTCCAGTATCATTAGTGTCACATGATTTAGTGTCACATCATTTCCTTCAGAAATCATTCTGGTATGTTGATTCAGGGTATAATAGTCATTATTATCAATGTTGAATATTGTTTTATGTGGTTGGTTAATATTTTTAAAACCATTTGAAACATTGATCAGTTTTTTTCAGGATTATTTGATGAATAGAAAGTAAAAATAAAGTGAAATAGAAATATTTCTAACACTATAAATGTCAATTTAATGGATAAGTTGAAATAGAAAAAGCATTAATAAAAGTATTACTTTCTTAAAATCTACAAAAACCGTTTTCACCATTGATAATAATAAGGAACGTTTTTTGAGCAGAGGATCATGTGACACTGAAAACTCAAGTAATGGCTGCTGAAAATTCAACTTTGATCACAGGAATACATTATGTTTGAAAACATATTATTGACGAGCATAAACATTCATGGTGTGTGCGTTTGGCTCCTACCTTCTGTGATATGTAAAGATCTTAGAGATGGGGCGTTGGAGCGGTTAAGCTGTGCGGGTCTGATTCCTACTGAGTGAGGAGCCTTTGCTGGTGCTGGTGAAGATCTGGCAGCTGAGTTCACACCACAGGAGTCCCATTCCACACGTGCAGCGTCCTCTCTGGAGCTGGAGTCGGGACTGCTGGTGCAGGTGGGGGTCTGCCGCAGGCCGGGGAACGGGGGCTTGTCTTTGGGCGGTGGAGAGGAGCAGGTTTTGGAGGAGCTGTTCTGCTCTGAGGAGTGTGAGGAGAGGGAGTCCATGCTACCGATTGGAGTGCTGCCCGAACTACTGCTGAACGTATCACCTGCAGGGACAGTAAGACATACAGCAGATAAAAACTACAGCATATCTTAAATTGATCACAGATGATTGATTTATACAGGTGAAACATGAAAATGACCAGGTCCACTTCAAAATGAAAATAAAAAAAAATAAATATGAGTCTATATAAGCCTATTTTCTTTTCTTTTCTTTTGCATAGTGTGATTCTAATGACAATTAGGCAGATTTTATCCAAATATTTCTTATTAATGTAATTTGTCTGAGGTGTTTTACTTTTTACTAATTTCGATTATTCTTACTAATAGCAATTAGATTCTCACTTTTTATTTTTTAACCAGCATAAATAAGGAAGTAAAATAAATGCTAACACAAACTACAAACAATAATAAAATAATAACAATAAAATCACATAAAAATAACAAGAACGAGATTTTTTTCCCCACATGAAAAAGTAAATATAAATTCTTATTTATTTTATTTTTTTTAGATTTTAGGTTAAATATGACCCAGATATGTTCTTAACATTTTATGAATTAAAAAAAAAATTGTAACAATTATTATTTGTTTTTATAAATATTTTTTATGATGCCTGTATTAAAACCAGAAACAACAAAAAAAAAATTTACAACAAAATTGTGAATCTACAAATATTAGATAAAAAGTACATATGATAAAAAAACTGAATTTAAAAAATAATTAAAAATGTTCTAATTGCAAATAATATTGTACAACCTGTGAATATACAATTTACAGTCATTACAACTTTTTAAAATGTTATTTTATGTTTAATTAGGCTTATTATTTTGCATGTTAGAGAACAAAGTAAGTCAATTTCTCCACATTTAATTGTTTATTTTTTTAAATTATTTATTATTAGTTTCATACATATCAGGATGTACTTTCACCTACTGTATGTGCTATAAGATGTGTGTGTGTGTGTGTGTCTGTACAGGCCCTGTTATATAGTACATTCAAAGTCAAAGAGTATTACTTTAATTTAACAAGCAGTTTAACCAGCAGGATATATTGGTTGGGCTTTTTTGGAGTGTATTTTTGGGCTCTAAAATGGTCATTTCCGTGGACAGCTCTACTTTCGCAGACAATACACCAGAAACTGGTACTGTTCGCCCTATGCTACGGAATTACAAGGCAGTTACTTACTGGCACAAGTAAGATAAAAGTCTCAGCAATATACTGTGTAAAGTAAATGTGTTAATGGCGCTAAATAATCTTCTCATCTCAAAATATAAAACTAATTTCGTACGTAATCATGAAACAGTACAGAGTGGATGTACTATCAACAGAGAATGTGAAATGTGAGGATTACTAGTAGTGTAAGACTCACTGTCCGCGTCAGCCAGGCACAGTGAGGGTGTGTAGAGGCTCTTGGGTTTGCGAGGTCCAGATGAGAGGCAGATGGCTCTGCTCCTGCGAGACCCTGCCTGAGACTGAGGCTGCGGCAGGGGAACATTAGTGTCTGGCGCCTGATGAAATATCTGTGAAAACATATCCAAATAACTATGAAAGATTATGACCAATGAGAAAAGAGTTTCTGTTTGATGAGGATGCAAGCTCCAAAAAGCATTAGTACATTAGTATAAAGTAATCCACATGTATTTATTGTGCGTAAGTGTGTGTGCCAGTAAAAAAAAAAAAATTGCATTATAACTTTTTACCAAAAGGTGGCACTGTCCTGAAACTTTTTGAGTACTGTCAGGTTATTTGTGATGATACACGCCAATGCGTTCGTAACATATGGCATCTGATATGAGAAAATTTGGTATCGTTTGACTCGGGATGATCAACAGAATCTAAACAGACTAGTTTTGTGATTTTTGGCCAAACCAGTTAGAAGTTATAATAAACAAAAACATAATTTTTTCTCCATGTCTAGACCACTAGGTGGCACTGGTAGTCTAAGGTCGTGGTTGTCATTACACAAACCAAGTCTGGTCAGAATTTTTGCCAAAGCGTTGCAGAGATACAGTATCACATCCATTTTCGAGCGCTCTTCGTTAAATTCGTTTGAGCGTTATTTGAGAACGGTATGAAGTACATAACTTTTGCCAGCATTATCTTTTAAAGGAGATTGTTATGAATTATCTTTGATTTTACTTGCCTTTTCAAAATTTTCGATGAGAATTTCTACCACAATGTTTTGAAATTTGATGTTCATCATGGCAGCAACGGTTTCCTCTTGTGAGCGCATGAGCGTAGGGCCGAAGATCACTCCCAGATTGGACACCGTCATCATGTTACTCTCACTGTGAGCGGACACACTGCAAGGACATGTGTCAATCAAATCCTCTAACCATTATTTCAAACTTCAAATAATAATTACCCCACCAAAAATAAAAAATAAAATAAAAAATGACTGGGCTATGCTTGTTAGTGCTACCTAGTGGACATTCTGTATATCACTTAATTTTAAATGATGAAGGTCACAGGCCAAGACAGTTTTGTTGGTTAAGGTAGTTTAAGGTGTAGTAAGAGTTATCTGAGAAACACTGTTGATATTTGAAATCGACACCCAAACAAACCCATAACCAAAAGAAACACCCGTTAATTGCTCTGCCCTAAAAAATGACACGCTATGCAACACAGGCAACTAATAGAGTGCCGAAGTAATGATGTTCCCTCGGACGAAAAGCATTGCATTTTCCCCATAGACTATTTGGAAAATCGCAAAAAATAAGATCTGTGTTTAACAAAGAGTAGTGACACTTACACGTTTTGTCTATCAAGATAATCTTTAGAAGTTAATCCAAAATGTATACATTTTGAAGCCTATATAAAGATTTTAAAAAACACAATCAGACACAATAAAGTTTATAAAACCACAAGCAGGTTATAACTGTGTGTTCATCGATTGTCATCGATCAAAACGTGAAAATATTTAGAGGTTTTGTTCACCACACCACTTATTTCAGCCGATTTAGTAAAAACTAGGGATGAGCGAGTACAGCATTATCTGTATCTGTATCTGTATCTGTATAACCATATGAATTATCTGTATCTGTATCTGTACTCGGACTGGGCGGGGCCTAAACCCGGAAGTGGGTCGGGTAGTCTTGAAATGGGCGGGGCTTTAACCGGTATGTTATTTTAAGCATGCAATTGATATGGGTTGATCAAAAATTGTTATATTTATTGCTGATAAGAAAACTATTTACATGACAGCATCAGCATTGAGCTTCAGATCAATGGTTTTGATCACGATAACAACGAACTACAGAACAAGTTTTGCAACAATGAATACAACACATGTGGTTGCAAATATGAAGTAAAATGTAACGAACAAGAGTTTTCATCTGAACTAGGGCTGGGTGATATGGACCAATAGTCATATCCCAATATATTTAGGCTGAATTTCAATATACAAAATATATCCCGATATTTTTTCTGCAAAGTGAGAGCAAATGTTCAGTCAAAGCCAAATATGACATGTCACAAGTAGTTTTATTGAAACATGAACATTTGCAAAATCAAATGAATAAATAATTAACAGGTTTCTTCACCTTAGGGCTGCATGATTATGACAAAAATCTTAATTGCAGATTATTCCCTTGGAATTGTAATTGTGATTTATTAATTGGTTTATTTATTTTGTCAATACAACGTTGGTATGAGCCATTACATTCATTTAAAAAATATAAAAAATAACACAAAAAAATAGGGGCATTAAGGGGTTAATATAGACATGACAGTTACCTTGGTGAATAGACAATACTGTTACTGAAACATTGAAACTGCTCCTGGTGAATAGAATTAAAATCATACCTGCTTTGTTTTTATTTCGTGTTATTTACAACGCAACAGTGTTGCATGCTCGTTGTTTCTTTTGCACTTTATATACAGTGAGACGATCCAGCGCGCGCCGCCGCATTTGCGCGTGCAATTGAGTGTGCGCTATACGACTAACGTTACAGTATAACGGCTGACAGGACAAAGTCCGTTTTGCTGAGGTGAAAGACTTTATTTCATGTTATAACATAACATGCTTTAATCAAGCACGCAAAGTGGAAAAGGAGTGACTGGGGCGCGGGGAGCAGTGCAGAGAGCTCTGGGTCAGCACTAAGCAGCTTGCTTGGAGCAAGGCGTGCAGCGCAAACTCTAATTACATATCACATTTAAAATATATATTCTTTATATTGATATATCGCTCAGCCCTAATTTCAACATTACTTTTTTTTTTCTTTTTTTTTTCTTTTTTTATCCGAGCACAGATATTGACTCGTATTACTCGTATAATATTTGTACTCGATAAAAGTGCTTTATCCGTACCGGATACTCGTTTCAGCCGAGTATCCGGCTCAACTCTAGTAAAAACCCATTCAAAAATCCCATAGGCTTTAGAGCGAGGGAACCGGTAGTGCTGAAATGCTAACGCACTTCCGCGTTTTGGCCTACAGAGTGACGTTGTAACTTCGGCACTCTATAACAGCTGGCGCATCGGACAGCTCTCGCAACTGTGGATGAATGAATCAGCTGTGTTTCAACAACTACAACAGCAGCATCAGAAAAGCATTGGGAAACATATCAAAAACTAAAGTTACTCATGTTTTGAGCAGAGACAAAGCAAACTGCGTCCATTTTCAGGTCTTGCCGTATATAACGTTTCTCAGAAATCACGTACTGCACCTTTAAGAAGTCTTGTGAAGCCACCAGTACACATACTGTACACTGCTGCTGAACAAACATTTAGCTCTAAATAAATCTACAAACTATTATACGAGACTAAGAAGAAAGTGAGTTTAAAGAGAGAAAGTTTTTAAGTTTTAAGTAAAAATGTAATCTAAGTCTACATTCAGGGCCGAGTCATACTTAAGTAGATGTTTGATTAAAATCTCCAACATCTCTTTGTTTTTGTCAGGTAGTTTATGCACCAGCGCGTGAACTGCACACACTCTGTAGTTCTGATCATCAGATTCTGAAAGAAAACAGACCAAACACATCAAGTGACGTGACGTGTGTAGCCAAGTATGGTGTCCCATATTCTGCATTTCACTCATTCAAATGCACACACACATCATTGTGTATCAACCATGATCACAAACTCAACCCAATTATAAGATAACAGGCTCCTAAAAGAGTGCTAAAACAAATGTGTTTAACATGTAATTCAACTGGTTTATAACTTACTGACAGCCATGAGGAAGTCAGAGTGGAGCTTGTATGTCATGAGCGGCTCAGACATACACCTAGTGGGCGGACACAAGAATGACATCTTGTTATCTCTACTCTTAGAAATGCTATTAGTTATTTTCAACTCACTCAAACAAAGAAAGGTACACATTATTTCAGGGCAATTCACACTAACACCTTGAACCTCCATTAGGAGTAGCCTGAACATACAAACCTGAGGTAATTCTTGAGGCCGCTGGTGATAGTCTTGTTGTCCCATGTGTCTGGGTCCAGATCCATATCTGATGCAGCTTTGGGTGCTGTAAGAGAAACCAAGGCTCATTTGCTACATTGTTTGTGTGCAGATGTTGTAGAGACATTAAACTTTAAATATTGATGACCCATGGAAACGGCTAATCCAAGATAAGTAATTTGGGTAAATCACATAGGCCCTAGTTCACATAATGTTCTTAAAAAATAAGAAACTAATGTTGCAAGAAAATGAAGGTGATTGTTAGAACCAATTGAGATTTTTACATTGTGCAGAATAATAAATAAATAAAAATCAGCACTGTATCATTATTTTTGGTTATATCATTATTATGGTAATAATAATGAGGGCTTTTTTTCATTACAGGTGAAAATGTGCTTACTAGTCAGGAAATATATGAAAAAAAATATAATTGGTTCTAAAATAGGCCTCATTTCCCCTATTCAAAGTGTAATCTCTTATTTCTTTCATTTAAAATAAAAATCATATAAAATATTATATTCAAATAATATACTGTATATGAGGGCACATTAATAAGAAAATTTGCATAGAGAAATCATTTATAATAAACAATGCATAAATAAAATAAGAAAATTAAATAAAAGTCAATTTTGGTGTCATGGTGACTCTTAAAGTTGGTCTGTGAAGGTTTTATACTTGGTTTAGGGTTTACAGACATTTGTTGGGATCTATCAGAACAAAATGAATTGCTACCAGATGTGACGTTAAACTCCAAAATGAATAAATTTGACAATGTTTTTGCGAGAGGGAACTGTATGCATCTTTGCTACCCTGGCCTGAATCACACATTTCTGTGTCTAGTTCTCGAGTTGTGTAATGTTAGAGTGAAGGGACTTACAGAAGACTGTGATCATGAGCTTCTGCACTTTGGAGTTTATTCCACCGACTCTGTACAAACCCATAGTGTTGAGCCCTGCTGAGAGGACAACACATATAAATACAACATACATGCACAATTAATCTCTAGAATCCCAGAGAGGGAGACGACTTATAAATGACTTAATCTAATGTCAGTTTAGGCACATTCCTGAATGTCAGGATTTTTGATAGACAGATAGATTGAAATAGAAATAAGAATTGGAATTAGAAATATTAATTAATTTAAATAATTTTAAAAAGAAATGTTTAGTAACATTATAAATGTACTTTAAATTAAAATACTTTTCAATAAAAGTTTTTGTCTTTTTATTATAATTTTATTATTACACTTATTTTTTAATCAATTTCATGGATACTTGCTTAATGAAACTAACTGTTTATTTTGAAAAGAATTGCACTGACCCCAACATTTGAATGGTGGTCCAAATATAATAATAATACCCTAATTAAAATCAACACTAATATTCTGGGAAGACAATTAAACACACGCACACACATTTAGGGTGATATTCCTAAAACATGACAACTTAAAATATTTGTATTTATTTATTTGTAATGTATTATAACTAGTACTATCATTATCAATAGTATTATAAGGAATAAATGAAGAGTTCAGATGCAAAAGCCTCTAAATGCCATTTTAAATTTTCTTCTAAAATGACCATTTTTATCAAGCTTGTATATTTAAGTTCAGTAATTTCACTTAAAAGACAATTAATAGGTAATCTTCATTGCCATTTAAGTGAAATTATTGAACTTAAATATACAAGCTTGATAAAAATGATCATTTTAGAAGAAAATTTCAAATGGCACTTAGAGGCTTTTGCATCTGAACTCTTCAAATACACACACACACACACACACACACACACACACACACACACACGCACACATGCACATTTCTTTCATAGGGTTCATCCTGAAACATGACATTACTTAACATATTTTAGATTATTTAGTTGGAATTTTATAATTATAATTATTATTATATGGATGCAGAAATCCACATGTAATTATTGTGTGTGTGTGCGCCAGTAAATTGCATTATAACTTTTTAACATAAGGTGGCACTCTCCTGAAACTTATTGAGTACTGTCAGGGTATTCGTGACGATACACCAATGCGTTCGTAACATATGGGACTTGATATGAGAAAATTTGGTATCGTTTGACTCGGGATGATACACAGAGTCTAAACAGACCAGTTTTGTGATTTTTGGCCAAACAGGTTAGAAGTTATAATAAACAAAAACGTACAATTTTCTCCATGTCTCCAGACCACTAGGTGGCACTGCACTGAAGGTGCAGGTAGTCTAAGATCATGGTCGTCATTACACAAACCAAGTCTGGTCAGAATTTGCCAAAGCGTTGATACAGTATCACATCCATTTTTGCATGCTCTTCATTAAATTTGTTTGCGCATTATTTGAGAACGGTTTGATGAATCAACTTGAAGTAGGCTACATAACTTTTTGTCGTCAGTGATGGGAATAATAGTGTTATAAACTAACCTTTTCTGTTAATAATGTATTGTATTGAGTGTCCATTTCATTATAATATTCAGATTTCTCATAAATAATTGAACATGTATGTATTTTAAGTTCCGTTAAAGAAGGGTAGAGGTGGGGTCAAATTTGAGCATTAAAATTTAATTTTACTTGAAAGAAACGCAATAGTTACTTTCGTAACTAGTTACTTTTAAAATTTAGTAACTAATTTAGTTACTTTTTGGAAGAAGTAACTAGTAACTGTAACTAATTACTTTTTAAAAGTAACTTGCCCAACACTGTTTGTTATATAAATAAAAAGTATGGAATGCTTTATAAATTAAGAGGCAATAAACACAAAACTCACCTCTCACCTCCACCAGCTGTATACACTTCCTCACAAAATTAAAGCCAGCCTCATTTAAATATGCTATAAAAGACAGGTGAAAAGAAACAACATGTTCAATAGATGGATTTAGCGTGCGTCACACTCAGGGGGATACGGCTTACTCTGGTTTTACTCAATGTAATGCTATCGACCTTGTAAAAGGAAATGAGAGAGCAGAGACAAACAAAGGGTGTAGTGATGGGAAACAGAACACATTATCTGAATAAGTGTTTGTTAAACACAGCTAATCTGATAAGTGCAAGTGAGGTCAGACTCAAACATTAAGCTAACACTGATTGAAAAGACATAATAGCTACACATGAAACAAATAAAGCCTTCACATGATAAATATAAATACACTGCTTAGAGATTTAAATACTTACTCTCCTCTTTCTTGCTCAGAATAGCAGGGAGATTGTAGATCTAAAAGAGTGAAAAATTAGATTTATTGTATTGATTTCACTGTGATTTACTTGAGCTGATAATCCATTTTCACCTGCTTTGAAGAAAATACCTGAACTTGAGGATCTTCTGAGGCTTGAATCAATACAAAAGCAATGATGACAACTAAGTCAAAATAGTATAAAAAGGGGAGAACGTTTCTCCAGCACTCACCGGCTCTTTGCCATCCATGGCTTCCAGCCAGAGTCTCCTGTTGGACTCCGACAGCGCTTGTAGCGTGATAATGCCATGCCTGAAGACAATGCAGCACTTTAATGTCTGACATGCTCTAGAAATATCCTGTCTACTTACTATAATTCCAGTATAGTGCCTTTGCTCATATATGCCGAAACTAAACAATGTAGTTAAAAGAAACAATTCAAACGAACTTGTCGCAATCTATAACAATTGAGTAAAGAATCAAAATTCTGTCATCATTTATGTCATTTCAAACCAGTATGACTTTTTTTTTCAGTGTGGAACATAAAAAGATATTTTGAAGAATGCTGGGAACAAAACAGTTTTGGTCACCATTGACTCCCATTTCTCAAAATATGATAGCATTTTTATTTTTGGGTGAACTATCCTTTTTAACTCAGGTTGAGCAGCAATAGTTCACCTAATTTTGTCCTTACATGGAACACAAAAAGTAACATTTAGCAGAATGTTCAAACTGCTCTTTTCCATACAATGAACTAGAAAGAGTAGCGGTACAATGATTTTCAGTGAATAACAGCTTCAATTTGGCACTAAACTGTTTAAAACTTCGTTTTACTTACGACAGAGCGTATAATATAAAAGTCATATAATATGTATAATAATGCAGTATGCGACAGTCCTGTGGGCGAAAATGCCTTGATGATGCTAGAGGTCAGAGGAGAATGGGCCGACTGATTGAAGCTGATAGAAGAGCAACTTTGACTAAAATAACCACTGGATCAATGGATCAATCATGCCTTGTTACCACTGTGCAGGCTGGTGGTGGTGGTGTAATGGTGTGGGGGATGTTTTCTTGGTACACTCTGGGCCCCTTATAATAGGAAGAAAAAATTCCATAAAGTTACCAACAAGATTCATATTGGTAACTTTTATGGAGTTTTTCCCTCATTTTTAGAGTTCCTGGTGACTAAATTATGTTGTTTTATGGACAAAAGCAGCATGAACATTCTTCAAAATAATAAAAAGTAAAAAAAAAAAAAAAAAAAACAAATTCACATGGGTTTGAAATGACATGATGGTGAATCTATGATGGGTAATTTATTCAAAAAAGCATGTTGTGTGATGCACTTAAAACATTTACATTTCTCATCCTTAGTAACACTACACACTCTTCGGAAAAAAAAAATGATGCATGAAACTACTATTTCATTTACATAAACATCAATTCAACCATATTTTATATCTGTGCTCGGATTTTCACACCGATTAGAATCACAAGGAATTAATTCACCCATTAATATAGCCCATGGATCTTCTTCACACGTGATTTGACAGCATTTGCTTGAACCGTATCTGTAAGGTGAACGTTAGAGCGAGCTCATAGCCATTAACGCGTTCCATGCCTGTGCAACAGCTGTCACTAATATCTGTGCATGGATGAACGAGCTATAAGCTCAGTTATGCTTTGATTATCACCGCTTGTTAGAGCAAGCACGCTGCAGTGCAGTTTGAAGGTGATGCTATTAGGAGGAGATTTGTATATGTCAGTCAGTGTATGCATAAACTGGCTCATTCAATTGAAATTTACAGCCAAAACTATCTGCTTATAATAAATAAAAAAACTAAAAAAGTAAAGTAAAAAAAAGTAAAAAACTTAGTGATCTGCATTGCTGTCTACATAGGCATCAGCCCTTTTAAAGAACTTCATTAGTAAGTTATTTAAAATAATATACACAATCACACAAACTGCCTTCCTCACATGAATTTAATTAGAATCCAGAGATTGAAGAGTAACACATATTTTTATTGGCAAAGAAGCATGTAATACACTTTTGTGTAAATAGTGTGTAAAGTGCAAAATGGAGCTATTTTTATTGATACTTCTGAGTTTTGACTGAAAAATGTATATTCATACTCATTTCTTATTTTGAATAATTCACACACTGTAAAAAATATTGATGGTTTAACTTAAAATTAAAATTTTAAGTTCATTGAACTGGAAAAAGTGAGTTAATGCAATGAAGGAGATTAATTTAATCTTCAGAAACTCAAAATTATATGTTATCTGAACTAAATAAATTATTTAAGTTGATTTGACAAAAGAAAAAATGTTGTGATTACTACACTGTAAAAAAATATTGTTGGTTTAACTTAAAAAAGTAAGTAACCTGGGTTGCCTTGAAATTTTAAGTTGATTGAACTGGAAAAAGTGAGTTAATACAATCAAGGAGATTAATTTAATCATCAGAAACTCAAAATAATAAGTTATCTCAACTAAATAAATTATTATAAAGTTGATTTGACAAAAGAAAATATGTTGTGATAACAAACCAAATGTTTTTTTCACAGTGCAGAGCTTGTCGCAATGCATCGTAATGCTACGTTCACACCGGACGCGAATAGGGCGTCAGGCGCGAATGATTTCATTGTTAAGTCAATGCAAAGACACTTTACTCGCGTGAAAAATTCCTGCGGCGCGAATGAGGCGTGGAGCGCGGCGCGGAAGACGCGAATACACCTCATTCTCGCGCGAATTGAGCGTCTGGCGCGTTAAGCGCGAATGATTCAGTTAGTGCCATTTGTGCATTCACGCGTTTGACGCGAATTTGCGTCTGCCGCCCGAGTTGAAAAATCTGAACTTTGGCGTGAATTAGCGCCGCGTTAACCAATCAGGAGCCTAGCTGCTTGCTCACGTGGTGAAGTGTCTGGATGCTTCAATAAATTATTTTGTTAATATGACTAAATGCATGGTGGGATTATGCACAACAAAGCAAATGTTTTATCACTTAAAACATTATTTTTATATACGAGACATGTTCATTTTGTATTGAATGTTATTCATTCCATAGCTAGATTATATGAAATAGTATTATGTTGTAAAGACAATCAACATATGTGCATAAGTTCGTGTCTGGACGTGAGAGAGAGAGAAAAAAAATGACAGGACAGGTTAATAACTTTTGAAGGCTGGCTCTATTTGTCATATCATTAAAAAAATTTAACACTTACTAAAAATAAATATGAAATAAATTACATTGAAACATTGCGAAAGTGTTGTTAAATTATTGAAAATGTTGGGGTTTCAACATTTTTTTTTTCAGCCTGGTGTATAATGTTGATTTGATGATGTGATTTTTGTTCCTTGATATCCAGATCAAAAATGATCCAGTTAATCAAATGATCAAATCAAATCAAATGATCCCTAGCCAGTTAAATCAAATCAAACTGTTATCCCACCAATTATGGGTGCAGGAAATGTGCTGGATTTTCAACATGCAATCCTTTAAAACCACCGGGGTGAGAAATGAGCTTTGATCAGCGTGGGATTTGGAATGCAGCACACATGCGCTACAACATGCTTTTTTAGCTGTAGGGCACAGGTCTGGTCACATACCGGGCTTTACAGAAAAATTGCAGTGGTCTGAAAAGAGATCCACGATAGATGGTATTTCTAGATTGAAATAAACACAGAGAAGGGACAAGGGAAATGGGCACATACAAGGTAATCTGTCAGAAAACAACAGTGCAACCTTACACTAGGTGGCAAAGAACATGAACAGACAAGAAGTTACATATGCAGCTACTTACCAACATACAGGTCTGGCTGAGTTTTAGTTCTACTGAGTGTGCACAGTGTAATAACAC